GTGCATAAGTACGTGTGTGTGTGTGTCCAGTATCATAAAGAAATCCTGACTGGCAATAAAAATTGGCAGACAGAGACATTTCCACTTCCTCCTTGGCATTTAGTAATCTTGGAGAAATAGAAAGAAAAGGAAGTTTAATTTAAAGGGGACTTCTGCCCTGCTTAGCTGGGTTCAACTGCCCAACATGAAATAATAATGCACTCAACTGCCCATCTTATAATGAGTAACCTTTGCAGCACCTCAGTGATTGGTGAAAAGTGCAAACAGTGGTCAAAGATGGTATGAAATACCAGAAAGAGCTGAGAGAACCCTGTGACCTTCGTGTGATTATGTTTGTGCTAATGCATGAAGGACAGAATCCCAAACTCAGAAGAATTTGACTCATTAAAAATTCATTGGTCATTAACAAGGGACTCTTACTCACTGTGTGCGGAAAGGATGGCCAACACATTAGGGAGTACCTTTGATGAGCAAGTCATGTTTGTGGTTCTTCTTCCTTCTCCATCTGCCTCTGCCACCTTGTCCTTGAGAAAAGAATGGGCTAAGGCCCTAGAAAGGAGTATATCCTCTTAGAACTTAAAATGTCATATTCATTTCTTAAAATGATTTATTTGGAAGAGGCTACTCCAAAAAAGGAGAAAGATCCAAGACTACACAGGAATGCATACTGTTCTATTTTTGGAGTAGTTAAGAGGATGTGAGCCTCATTGATGAAGACTACCAAAATTTTTAAAAATGGATTTACAAAACAAAAACGATCTTGCTATGAGGAACACAGTGAAGGTCATTAATGGTGATCACACAGGTGCTTGGAGCTGAGCAGGAAGGGTAGAACTTGGGAGGCACTGGTACCTGGATGTCACATGACTTAGCTCTGTTGTCACCTGTCCCTCCATAGCAGAGGTATCTGCAGGTAGGCCTGTATATTTCACATGTGAGACCATCCCTAGCACAATGGTGCTGAGGGCATGAATGAGCACCCCCTCGACAAACAGGCATTTTAACAGTGAAAACTCCATTATTTGTTCAAGGTTTTCACCATTTGTGACATATCCTTTCCCTATTAGATTTAAATCTGGCTTCTTTGTATTCACAGAGAATTAATACCTGTTATATAGTTGTTTTAAATTCTACATTGTGACCCTTCAAAATCAATGTTATATTCCTTGAAGTGCCTGTGAACAAATCATTGCAAATAGATGTTTCTGAGCTATTGGGCCACTGAGGACACTGAGGTTCTTCCCTCTCTCTTTTCTAGATGATAATCAGAATTATGATTGAAGAAAACCTGAAGGTAAAAAAGCTTGGAAGTAATGCTAGCTGATGACTCACTTGCTATTCCTAATACTAATGGTCTGTGGTGGCAGTGGCAAAACTTTAGAGCTTTCAGTGATAAGAAACAGCTTGCTGTTGCTCATGTGCCATAGGTTTGCCATTAGTGGTCTATGGCATACTCAGTGCAAAAGACATTCGTACTCTCTTGGCAGTCAATAAATCATGTGTGATCCTTGTTGTCTTCATACTCTCATGGAGTTGTATAAAACATCCATATGATCTCACCCTTAGCATCTCTGTCAGTGGTCTATAGAAGCTCCACCAACGAGTTGCATGCCTGCGTAAGGACCACTCGTCTAAGCTATGGGACCTGGAAGATATAGTCCAGTATCTTGGTGTCACATTTCCTGATTATGCTATCATGGACTAAAAGGAGTGCTACACAGTCATCCCTCTCTGCCTCTAGGATTCTGATGCACAGATTCAGTCATCTGTGGATTTAAAACATTTGGAAAAAACCAATATAAATTATTTTTCTTGTCATTACTGCTTGAATACCTTTGCTCATGGTGGATGGGAAGCAAACAGAGTGATAGAAAGGGGTCAGAATCCCAGTAACTCCTTCAAGGCAGTATCCTCAATGGCCCAATTTATCTTCACTGAGCTCCACCTCCCAATAGTGCTACAAGCTAGGGACCAATCTTTTAGCGCTTGGCCCTTTAGGGAGACATTCAAGATCCGAAGTATAACAGCATGAAAACTGAAATTGTGATAGAATTTGTCAATAAGCTACTATGTGAAAGATATTTCTAGGGTTTATTTTGGACAATAGGAAGTAATCAAGTGCGTACCAACACCTACTTTAAAGGAATCAGGCCACCTGCTGCATCCCCAAAAGCCAAACTTTTCTTTATTGAGTGATTGAGTGAATAATCACCAAATGTGAGTGAAATGCCCCACAGAAAGTGGGGAACTTACCACACAATCCCTGAGCTTCAGATTCAGAGTACCTATGCTTAAAAGCACAGGCTTGCCTCTTCCCAGCTAGCGTCAAAGAGCTGTCCTAAAATTTGTTGGTTTCTATAGATATAACATGTTTTGTAGGCTCTGGGACAGGAAGAACCGGCCCACTCCATTTAAGTTGTTTTTGTTTTTGTTTTTGTTTTTTTGTGTGTGTATCTGTGACCATGGAAATATCTAACCTTCAATACTTAGCTAATGTAAAACTGAGAATTACATCAGATCTCTGCAACCGTTAGCTGATGTCATTTATTCTTTCTGACGTCTAGATTCCCCTCTAGCTCACTCTGAGAAGTCCTCTATTCAGGAGCTGCTTCTGCCCAGGCAGATTAGCTTATGGTCCTACAAGGTTAAGCATGATATATGCATTTGGGGAAAATGGAAATGTGCATTAAGAAGAAACATTACTTTCTGATTCAGGCAGGAGACATATTTAATCTCTTCAAGAGCCTGTGAAAGACTTCATTTTACACATGAAATTGTGTGGAATTGCCCTGGACTGCACTGAACATGGTTTCTGTGAATAGCAGGCCTCAGAACAAGCTACTGAGCACCACTTATGCCCGCAAAGCAATAAGGAAGAAATGTAAGCAAATGCAGTGTGTGTAAGCTACAGAGAACAGACATATACTCTGTTGACACGGTGTCTGCATGGGGTGGATCAAACACAGGCCTGGCCCACATGCAAGAAGCAGGGCACAGAGAAGCTTCTCATGGCATAGAAAATTTAAAAATAAAGGTATTAATACATTGCTAATTGCCTAAGGAAGGATTTTTCTATTTTTCTGTGCATTGTAAAACTTGCCATAATCTGGCATTAAAAAGCCATGCATAGCTAACAAAAAGTGAACAGATTTTTCAAGTAGTGATTTTTTCAGCTGTGAATTAATCTAATCTTCATATTTGACCAAAAGTATCATTTTTAGAAGTACATATGACTGGTGAGAATTTCAAGGCCAACAGGACTTGAGAATATAAGAAGAGAGACCATGAGATTTATTCTGCATAAGGCACTTTCCAGTTTAAAATTCCCTGCTTTCCAAGTATAATAACTAAATCATATATTGAAAAAAATTAGAAAAAAAAGATCTTCTGAACATTGCGGGGCAATTGTTGGCATCTTCTGATGGGTCATCTCACCCTTGTTATTAAATGACAGCGATCATTAAAATGCCAAACATATTTTGACAGAATTTACTTTATAAAATGTCAGCAAGTCTATGTTTTTATTAGTTTTTTCCAAATCAATTTAGAAATTTCAATAGGATCCTTGTAAGTATTCCCCAAGCAATGCCCATTCCTGACTTCCTGCACAAAAAAGTATTACAAATTAATCAGATTTTCAGATTTCTGCATAATGGCTTTGTGCATGTATTGCTTAATCCTATTATAAAATGCTGTTATGATTGACACATCACTGTGCAGATAGAAGTCAATTGAATAATATGTAGCAGTCAATTTTATTTGTAGCTTAATGTGCTAAAGCATTTTTTCCACATTTCCATTATTTATAAGTCTGTCCCTTTGGAGAATATATAGGCGAATTTGTTTTAAATGAGCCAATAATACCTTCTTTAAAATTTATAAATGTGACAGGATCATATCTTTTTTTTTTCTTGGTTGTCCATGGCATGCCAATAAACAGCGCTTGGATTGTCTTCTACTTGGTATTCATAGTATAAACATCAGAAAGAGGATCTTATTAAGGGTATTTGGAATTGGATTTCAACCACCTCTTCAGAAATTTCTAAGAAAAAAAAAAGTACCAAAGAGGACTCTTCAAAAATGGCTGCTTGAGGGCCAGGGAGATAGCTCAGGAGAATAAGTGCTTGCCTGGCAAGCACAAGTTCCTGAGTTCAATGCCCAGTACCAAAAAAAAGGCTGCTAGTTTTGTGTGTCCATTCATGTATTTCTTGTTTCTGCCATTATCTTATCTGCTGTGATTTGTCATAGAACAAAGTATGTAAGCTATACGGAGATACTTTGCTGTGCAAAGGGTTTTATAGATTTGCTGTTGAGGTGGGGTATTCTTTTTTCTACTTTGGTGTTCAATAGGATTCCAACAGAGGAAGTGAGGTAATGTTCTTTAGCAGGGTGGAGATCTCTGAAGTTACTGTGTAATTCCTTCTCTTTCAGAACACAGGAAACTTGTATAAGGTTGGCCATGTCTTTTTGGACATTGTGGAAGGTGACACTGAAAAAGTTTTTGGTCTTTAGGAGAAGGTGTTGCTAAGACTCAGAGCCTGAATCAGATATGGAAAAAGAGCTCAGGTAGTCAGAGGAGATGGGGATGCAATATTTGGGATGATGTGGATGATCTTGGTTATGTCTAAGATCATACTTTTTTTGGTTCTGGAAAATTAAATTAGCTGTTGCCCTTTATGCATAAAGGGTATAACTGCCTCCTACACAGGACACATTACTGTATGGTACATAAATTGGTATGTAATGTAATCATTATGGTACAACACAGTGTTACATTCCTGGTGTCCCCTGCTCTCTATGTCCTGGTGACTTTGGCTATCATGAATGTCCCTTAGCTTCCTTTATGCAGGCATTAAGTGATTTCAGCACTGAGCCATTGGTAAACCATTCTGTTTTATCATCTGTCTATTAATTCTCTGTGACATCACAAGAAATGAAGGTGGTATGGAATTGCCAGGCTGCGTCTTATATTGAGGGAGCACTTCTCTTTTGAATTCCAGGGGCCAGAGGCAACGCAGCACTGTCAGATCCAGACTCTCCGGAGCAGCACCCAACCAGTCACACCCACCCTCCGTTTCCTGTTGGGCCACAGGTCAGTGTCTTTCAACTGCTTTCCATCAGGCTGCATTGAAGATAGTTTAACCACATAAATAACCAAATACATAATAATGAGTAAAATCCAATTAACTCCAACAGAGCAAAGATAGCAATACATTTTTATATAGGAAACTGTATGACTACATTATTTATTAAAAACTATGAGAAAAAATGTGTTTGCAAAACTCTTCTGTCTTCTTAAAGAAAACATTTATTTTAATCATTTGGAAAAATATTTTTTCCTTAAAACTCACTGCATCTGAGCTCTTGGTTACCATGCAGTTAACTTTAATGACTGGACTGTGAAGAAAATTAAGTTATTTCAACCTTAGTATAGGCATTTTTGAAATACAAGATGTGATTTAATATAAAAAGTTAATGCAATTTTAATGTAAGTTTGGCTTATTGGGTTTGACAATACTGTACATCACACATAGCTCCTGCATTAATAAAGAAATACATTCATTATTTTTTAAAGTCCAATATTTGTTTTTTTTTTTTTTTTGCAGGCTTGTGTGGGTTGTATGGAGATGTAGAGCTCACTTATGAAAGGATGGGCTTTCTAAAACCTATGTCAGATAGTGCTCAGCTTTCAGAGTTCATCTTGCTTTCATAGAAAGAAATGTTGGGCCTTCTGTCCTCTTTGCTTTCATTGTTATTCCTGGAAATTAATCACTTGCAGCCCATAAATGGCTCATCCAAGAGCATGGATTGGGTTGGCCTGATAGTCTTTTCCAATTGTCACCCAATCCCTTCAGGCCTCCAATACTATTGTCCCTCCCACTCTGTACCACTCTGTACCTAGTAGATGTTTAGAAAGAGTTTTCTGAGAATCTCAGCAGCTGGTTCTGTTGACATCCCTTAGTGTCACCCTCCTTACAGTGTGTGTGTGCGTGTGTGTGTGTGTGTGTGTGTGTGTGTGTGTGTGCAGAATATGCCTGTGACCACATCAGTCCTAACATGCTGTTGTGGCCTGACAGTCCTTGGCCACTGAGGACTGGTGGTAGTAGGACAAACTGAGAAGGCATGCTTTGCTCTAAGTCTGCAAATCTAAGTTTAAAACTTCTGCAGCCCAGGTCCCCAAATCAGAATTACCCATTTGCCTTCCTTTTCAGTGCAATATTTGTTATTAGCGATAGTACACCAAGAATTTTAAGGCCAGTTTATTATTATTATTATTATTATTATTATTATTATTATTATTGGTTTTTTTTTGGTGGAACTGGGGATTGAACTCAGGCCCTTGCGCTTGCCAGGCAAGCACTTATTCTACTGAGCTATCTCCCCATCCTCTTGTTTTTATTTTCAAAATCTGCTTATCTTGCTTTTTAGAGTACTTTGTATTTTTTTTTAAATGAAGCATGGCTATTTGATGGAAATTTAGCAAATTGTACAGATATCTTAGGAATGAGGCCCTTGGAGTCTAGGGCAGTGGTCCTAGAACAGAGATTCCTCAGGCCTCTTCAGAGTTTCTCTTGAAGGAGTCTGAGACAGAGGATAGATGGCCAAATCATGGACTCACCTCTTTCCATCTACCCCTCACTCTCGCCATGAAGTAGCTCCTGCTCTCTAAATCAGCTACTTGTATTGAAAAGAGGAGTAAAAACTGGATTCTGGTGCTTCCTGCCTAGACTTGACCCCCACACAATATAGTAAAATTGGGAGTTCGGCAAAGTACAGATCTCCCCACAATTGACTGGTAGGATAAGTATAACATTCATATAGTGCCTGGATATTATATACTGGACTTTGCACCATAACTACATTAAATTACCTTTTCTTTATAGAATCATACCATACCTTTAAAAAAAAAAAAAAAAGTTGAACTCCCCTGGATAAGAGTTCAGATTGGGACATGTAGAAGATAGTTGTATGTGGGGTTATGGGTCCTACTGCAGGTCTCATAAAGGTGCAGTGACATCCTGGGTGAAGGGACACTTGCAGCCATCTGCCTGGCCAGGGCAGGGAGTCCTCCTTGCTTTCTGACCATGGTGAGGATCATGGTGCATGCAAACAGGTCCAATGTCCAGTGGCTGCAATTTTCTTTGACATCCACTCAGGAGATAGCCATTGATCCACAGTAGATATCAATATCATTTGTGCTTATGATATCATTTTAATTGGTCAAAAATGTTGGTGGAATAAAAAATGTTAAAATTTTTCTCATTGTAAAAATATAAACATCTGGGGCTGGAGAGATGGCTCAGTGGTCTAAAGCACCTACTTAGAACAAGCTTAGCAAAAGCATCAGGGACCGCGGTTCAATCCCCCAGCAC